TGTTCGCATTGCGGTTCACCCACCAGGGCTGCGTTTTGTGCCCCATAGGGAGCTCCACCGAAGGGCCCCAGTGGGGGTGTTCGCATTGCGGTTCCCCCACACCCAGGGCAGCGGTTCGTAGCCCCATAGGGAGCTCCACCGAAGGTCCCAGTGGCACAGCCCGCATGCGGTTCCCCCACCCAGGGCAGCGTTTCGTGGCCCCATAGGGAGCTCCACCGAAGGCCCCAGTGGGGGTGTTCGCATGCGGTTCCCCCACCCAGGGCAGCGTTTCGTAGCCCCATAGGGAGCTCCACCGAAGGCCACAGTGGGGGTGTTCGCATGCGGTTCCCCCACTCAGGGCAGCGTTTCGTGGCCCCATAGGGGGCTCCACCGAAGGCCCCAGTGGGGGTGTTCGCATGCGGTTCCCCCACCCAGGGCAGCGCTTCGTGGCCCCATAGGGAGCTCCACCGAAGGCCCCAGTGGCTGCTCTCGCATGCGGTTCCCCCACCCAGGGCAGCGTTTCGTGGCCCCATAGGGAGCTCCACCGGAGGCCCCAGTGGCTGCTCTCGCATGCGGTTCCCCCACCCAGGGCAGCGCTTCGTGGCCCCATGGGGAGCTCCACCGAAAGCCCCCGTGGCGTAGTTCGCATGCGCTTCCCCCACCCAGGGCAGCGCTTCGTGGCACCATAGGGAGCTCCACCGAAGGCCCCAGTGGCGCAGTTCGCATGCGGTTCCCCCACCCAGGGCAGCGTTTCGTAGCCCCATGGGGAGCTCCACCGAAGGCCCGCCCCGGTGGCGCAGTCCGCATGCGGTCCCCCCATCCAAGGCAGCGCTTCGTGGCCCCATATGGAGCCCCACCGAAAGCGGCACCCACAACGCGTTACCAACAATTGCTTATGGTTGGGTCTTTCGCCAGGATAATTTTGTACGACGCGATCATGTCTGGGGTCGGGGCTTCTGGGGACGCCCTCCCCTGACTCCGGATCCGCCCTACTTTGGGGAAGTTCGGAAGTAGGGCTTGGAATTTCCGCCTTACTTTTCAAGCCCCGCTGATGCCAATTTCCGCCCTACTTTTCTGTTGCTGTTTCCGCCCTACTCCTGTGGATTTCCGCCCTACTTTATGCTGGGTGCCGAAATTTCCGCCCTACTTTTTCGGCTTCTTATAGGTGGATTTCCGACGCAATTTTAAGTTGGAAAAAAAAGCCAAAGTAGGGCGGATCTGGAGTCAGGGTCGTGAAAACATCAGGGCGTCGCATGCCTGGGCCCGCGCTGTGGAGGCATCGCGGCGGGACACGTCTGTCGCTGCTTCTTCGGCCTCTGCAGGGGGCCCTTCCCGGGGCGTCGGAGGAGGAGGAGGGCCGTCACAAGAACGACTCGGGGTGAAGAAGCGGTCCCGGGGAAGGGGGCCACCCTGACTCCGGATCCGCCCTATTTTGGCTTTTTTTCCAACTTAAAGTTGCGTCGGAGATCCACCTCTAAGAGGCCGAAAAAAAGTAGGGCGGAAATTGCTGCACCCGACATAAAATAGGGCGGAAATCCACAGAAACAGCAACAGAAAAGTAGGGCGGAAATTGGCATCAGCGGGGCTTGAAAAGTAAGGCGGAAATTCCAAGCCCTATTTACGAATTTCCCCAAAGTAGGGCGGATCCGGAGTCAGGGCAGACCTCTACGGGGCCGACGCTGTGCAAGAACCACGACGCCGGGGGGCAGGGGAGGGGAGGCCGGAAAAGTGCCGAGGACCGACGGAATCACTCGAACCCCCCCGCCCTGGTTTTGGTTTCCCGACTTGGGATGACGGCAAAGCAGGGCGGAAATGGACGTCCGAGGTGCTTGCACAGTTTGGCGGCGCGCACAAGGGGGTGGAGGGAGGGGGGAAGGCTTTCTGGAAGGAGGCTGCTTCTCAGAGGGCGCGGGCCTTAGATCCACAGGCAGGGCCAGCGCCGTCTGAGGAGCAGGGGTGCGTCTGAGAAGCCTCCCCCTCCTTCCCATCACAATCCTCCTCCTCCTCCTCCTCCTCCTCCTCGTCCTCCTCCTCCTCCTCCTCCTCCTCCTCCTCCTCCTCCTCCTCCTCCTCGCGTGGCCAGGCCTGGTCGAAGAGCTCCAGCGCGGCCCGGCCCTCACCCCGAAGGCCCTCGGCGATCGCGGCGCGGTGGAGGGCGCCCTTATCGCGCGTGAGCTCCAGCGTGTGCTCGGGGAACTCCAGCAGCTCGCCGCCCTCGCGCGCGCCGCCCAGCGCGAGGCTGATGTGGGCGTGCAGCACCTCCTCCTCCTGCGCTTAGGTCGGGCGTGCCCCCCTGCAGGCGGACCTTGGACGAAAATCAGTAAAACATACCAAAAAAACACCCAAAAACAATACTCAAAACTTGTCAGAAAATCGTCCCCCGACTATTTTTTGTGACTATTATTTTGAATATCCCCCCTGTGGAGGGACAGGCCCGACTTCATCCTGCGCACGCGCCGCCAGGCGCGACAGGCTCGGGGGCGCCCCGGCGACCATGAGCTCCATGCCCAGCTTCGCGAACGTGCCCACGGACGCGTGCTCGTTTAGGCCGGCGCCGCGCCAGCGCTCGAGCTCCGCGGGCTCCGCCGCGGAGAGCTCCTGCCAGGCGAAGGCAGGACGCGGACGCACTCGGCTGAGGATACACCGAGGCTCGCTGGGACCCGGCGGCTCTGGAAGGTGCATCGGGCGGCGCGGGCGCTCGGGAGCGCTCGGACAGCGTTCCAGAACACTCTGGAACGGACGCATCATCGTCCCGGCCCCGTCCGAGCTGAGGACCACCCCACTCTTGCAGATTACTCGTTGGTCATATATATATATATATATATATTCATATATATATATATATATATTATATATATTACTAGAACCACGCGCGCGCGCTTCGCGCGCGCTTAGGTTCTAGCGCAGTCCTAGCCAACCTCATAAGATCGGATGAGGATGCACATCATCTGGCAAGGGTCACCATATGGGAGCGTACTTCCCGGTGGGGAGACGCTGAATAAGCGCGCCAGGAAGTTGCGCAAGGCGTCCAGAAGCAGGACACAGGGCAGGCTCAGGCGGATGCCCGAGAACCCTTGAGAGCCTGGCAAGACCATGCTGGGAGTATCGTTGGATGCCTTTGGGGGACGCTCTTGAAGGCTCTTTTTTTTTAAGACTTCGCAAGAGCGCAAGCGCAAACTGGGCAGAAATGCGGGAACCGTGTCCCCAAAGGAAATGAAGCGAAGCTTCCTCGCGCCCATAGTTGCTTCCAACGCCGAAAGCTAAAAGCAGAGGGTAGAAAAATGGAGCGGAGCTTCCTCGCGTCCAGCGGAACTTCAAGCTCAAAGCAATTATAAAACGAGGGGGATGCCCAGGCCCCCGTGGGCCCCCAGAACATTGGGCTCCGTTTTGCGCTCCAGGCGGCGCCACAGCACCGCTTCCCTCGGATGCGCCCCCAAAGTTCTTCTTGGGGCCCCGGGCCAGAAGATTCAGCTACGGGCGGCGCTTGCTTTGAGCGCCACCAGGGCCCGAGGCCCAGGCTCTCGCGGCGCTCGGTCATCGGCCGCGCCCCGGCAGAGTGCCCTGGGGCTGATCAGGACTGCGAGGCCATGATCGGGGCGCGCTGGCCCCCCCCTGCGGCCTCGTTCGCGGAGATATCCACCGGCACGGAGGGGGCGCCACAGCGCCTGAAGGCCAACGCGGCACCTGCGAGCACCGCGGCTCCCCCGATCGCTCCCAGGCCGATCGTCGCAACGCTCGCGAGAGACCGCTGCCCTGCCAACGGCAGGCCGTCCATCACGGAATACAGCCTGGTTTTCTGGGTTTCATGATTCCAGTCGCCGAGGGCGCACTTCTCCAGTTCCGCCCTTGCAGTGGGGGCACTCCTTGTACAGGTCGCCGAGCGCCTGCTCACAGATCATGTCTTTCACTGCATCTGGGTCGTTGGAATCGGACGCGACGACCTCCTTGGCCTCCTTCCCATCGCGGGCGTTCGATATCTCCGCGACCCTATCCATGAACCAGAGGCAACAATTATCCGATTCGCCGCACCTCGAGTTCTCATCAACTTCCCGCCAGCATCCGATGTCACAGCTGACGGGGCCGACAGAATCCCAGTAGCTGAACATATGTCCGCACCCGGCGGGGACAGCGGTGGCCTGCAGGAATGCGGCGGCCGCGAGCACCAGGCGGGCCATCGCTGTTGGGGTTTCGGGCCGATTGAAGCAAAGAAGCCGCTGCCTGTGCCGGCGGGGGCGGGCTGAACCAAAGCGTCTTGAGCCAAATGGCTACGGAAGACGCTCTTGAAGGCTCTTGGGGGTTTGGGGGAGTGGGGCATCTCGGGTTTTGGTTTGGGTTCTCCTGGTGGCATCTTAGGACTTTTTGGGGGCGCTTCGGGGGCCGGGACCGTCAGGCAACGACTCACGCTGAAAAGCTGGCCGTAGGGAAGGTGGCCAGACCTCTGGGGGTCCACGCATCAGAAAGACTGGAGCGCCAGATGTCTGGGTATTGCAGTGGCCAGACTCTGAGCGACGTAGCTCGCAGCGTTCCTCGGCTTCTTAGTGTCCTCAGCGTGCGACAGAGCGGTGGGTCTCGTGAAACCCTACCACAGCCGACGTCCACGCAGGAACTCTCCCAAGGGACGGTCCGCGGCCTTCAGCCCAGGACCAAAAACCCAGGGCTCCACGGCGGTACCACGTGAAACACAGAAACCAGAGGCGGAGCAGTCTCTGTCGCATGTCGCGAGGGCGGCCCTGGCGACACGCTACGGCCCACGCGAGTGGATAGCGTGTCGCTGCGATCCTCGGGACGCCGACGCGCGGGAACTGGGGCGTGGATAGCACAGACATGCGACGTCCTGATTTCGTCAATACGCGGCCCCCGAAGTCCCGACCCTTTCCCCGGGGACGGCTCTTCATCCTGAGACGTTCCTTGACGGAAGAAGAGGAAGAGGAGGAGGAGGAGGAAGAAGAGGAAAAGGAGGAGGAGGAGGAGGAAGAGGAGGAGGAGGAGGAGGAGGAGGAGGAGGGAGGCGGGAGACCGCACTCGCATCGTGGCGGAGGATGGAGGTATGGCGTCATTTGCGCAGGGGGGCACAACCGCAGGAGGATAACTACCTAGCGGACGGGGCGACACTGAAGGCGCAGTTTCTCTGAGGACGGCATTCCAACGCTCTTGTTTTGCAGTGTTGGGCTGAGGTTGACATGGCTGACATGAAGTGGGCGTGGCAAGTTTGTGGTTGCAGTCTGCCGAGCATTTCTGGGTTCCAGACAAACCAATCGTGCAGGCTGACGGGGACGAAGCAACGCTGGGGGGAATTTCCTCGCGCCAGGGGGGCGCGGTACGCGTGGCGCCAATCTGGGGCGGGTTTGGGAAGGTACCAGCAGAGGCCGCGGGAGAACCTGATTCGAGGCGCAAACCGAACGTGCCGCGGTGGTTCCGCGCGTGCGACGACGCGGACGTGGACGGGTCGTCGACGGAAGTGCCTTGCACTGTGGACGGCTGGTGGGCCGCGGGGGCCGAGGTGGCATGGCCTCTTTTTTTGTGTTGTTGTGTTTGTTTGTTTGTTTTTTTGTTGTTCTTTTTTTGGTCCGACGTTTACCGGGCGCGGGAGGCGCGTGGCATCCGCGCTTGAGCACCTCAGAGGACGCGCTGTACTCATGAGCTGCTGCTTCGTCGAAGGCTTCCTGTGGCGTCACGCGGTCCGCGAGGCATGCCGCATGGAGTCGGACCAGTTCCAGGGGGGACTCACGCGCCTCGCCCATTGTGACGCGCGGCTCGCCCGACAGCGCGAGCGCGACGTGGGTTGCAGGGGACTGCAGACGCTGGGCGATTCCGCCCCTTCCTACGGGGCCCGGCATGGGCGAAGACGTGGAGCCGTCGGGGCAGTCCTGGCATCGCGCTGCTCGGAGAAGTGACGCGTCGACGATGTTCGATGTGAACGCTCTTGCAGGAGCGTTGCCCGCAGGGGGCGACAGCCCCTGCTCGGACTGGTGCGTCTCTTCTACTAATACTCTTGTGGTCTCGAAGCTGCATCCTCGGGATATGGCTACGTGCAACTGGCCGTGCGCGAAGACTGGCTTTGGTAGATGCACGCCGAGGCGACCTTGGAGGGACTGTCCTTGCGATTTGTTTTTGGTGATGACCCACGCCGGTTTCACGGGGCACTGGCGTCGTCGGAGCACGAATGGGAGTTCGCAATCCCCGCAAGAGTCGCAGCATATCCGCGGCAGCAGCTCGACGTTACCCGCAAAGGGCCCGGCGACGACACGGACGACCAGGAAGTGCGACCTCATTCGTTCTACGACGAGACGCGCGCCGTTGCAGAGGCCTCGATGCGGAGCGAAGTCCCGCAGCATAATTACCAACGACCCGTGTCGCAGTCGGAGCTCGTGAGGGGGAAGTCCAGCGGTCTGGATGTTGTTCAGGAACTCCGTGGTGTACGTGGCCCCGTGCTCTACCTCAGCGATAGCGACGTCCTGGCTCCGCGAGACGACTTCTGTGTCGCTCGGCAGTTTTGCGTGCATGAGCGCATTCAGGGTGTCTGCTGCCTGGTTTGTTGGTGTCACTACGGCTCGGCATGCGTAGTACTGGCACCACTGGGCAGGCTGCTCAGCGTCGACCCCCTCGCACACCCATTCCAGCAAATGCTCTGACTTCCAGGAGCGGGGGGCGAGAACGGCATCTGGGAGTTCGACCACGCACGCTTGGTACTCTCTGTCTACGCCTGTGAACGGCGGCGACCCACAGGCGCCATCGCCGACGCTCATGCAGAAGTCGGCGAAAGCTGTGTCCGCATTGGCCCGCGTGTTCTTGCGGAGGCGAAACTTTTTGACGTGAGCAGAATCCCACCACGGCATGGCAGCCAAGGTGTGGTTGAAGACTGCGTCGCGGTCGAGGTATCGGAGCACGGGGGGGATTTGGCGGAGATCGCATCCAAAAACCACGGTCTTCCCTCCGAAGGGCCGGCTGTTGCCGAGGAGTTCCTGTAAGCACCTGTCTACGGCCTCAAACATGGCGCGCGAGGCAGTGGGCGCTTCGTCCCAAACGATCAGCGCCGCGTCTACTGTGAGTTTCGCTGCCGCCGACTGCGCTTTGACGGTTGCTTTGCAGCCTTCCAATGGGACGGGGGCGGGGAGGCGGAAGCGGGAGTGTGCGGTGCGTCCTCTGGGCAAGAGTAGTGCTGCGATGCCCGACATCGCTACAGCCAGTGCTATTATGCCGGTCATTCGTACATAATGCAGGATCTTCTTGTACACGTGGGTTTTGCCAGTGCCTGCGGGACCGTCGATGTATATGATGTTGGCGACGTCTGTGCTGCGGGGGCCGTCTACGCGTGCCTGGACGAAATCGAAGATCGGATGCTGGTCGTCGTTGAGAGCGAGTCGGTCGAACTCGTCTTTTTCTTTGCAGAGTTCTGACGGGCTGCGCAACTCCCGCGCGTATTCCTGCGCCGCTCGTTCGGCGGGCAAGAGAGCTCCGTCCGGCGACGGCGGTGCGATCGCGTAGGCTGCAAGCGTGCACCCGTAGAGAGCCAATCTTTCGTCGACAGCTCGATAGACGGTGGACGGTTCTACGGCCTGGTGGTGTTCCGACAAATGATGTAAAAAACGACGTCCAAA